TTTCAATTATATACAGAAGTGCAGGCTTGTCATGTGTTCTGTTTGACCACAAATCCTATTTTTAAAATAGGTCTTATCCACATATCCTTCTTCTATGTCAGCGAGGGGAGGAAGTCTGTACAATGCTGTGTGTATGTTGTGTTAATCTGTCAAGTTAAATAATCTGTCCTGTGCTGAAACTGGATGCAAAAGACAAGTGCCTAGATCCTTATCCCCATCTTAGAGCATCAGATAGTGCTTTCTCTCATGCAAGAATGGTGCATTGTGGGAGCAGGCCCTGGGAAGGAGGACAGGCATCTGGAGTTGATATGCTCCAGTGATCCTGGACTGACTGAGCAGCTCTAGAGGTCTGTTACTGCCAGCACAAGTTGGAGCAGCCCTGCATCTGATCTAAATTTGTGTTCATGAGGTTAGGGTCGGGGGGGAAAGTGGCAAATATAACCTATGCACCTGAGAACTTGGCCCTGTAGTAGGAAGAAAGCATGAGACATAAGCCCTTGTGTCAGAGGCCTGGTATGAGGCAGGACCTGAACACAGAATCTGGCAAGAACAGAGCTGATATTGTAGAAATTAAAGGAGTACTTGTGGCACCTTGGAGACTAACCAATTTATTTAAGCATGAGCTTTCGTGAGCTACAGCTCACTTCATCATCACCACAAGTACTCCTTTTCTTTTTGCGAATACAGACTAACACGGCTGTTCCTCTGAAACCTGTCATTGTAGAAATACACATTCCTAAGAAGAGCTAGGCACAGAGTGCTCATGCAAACACATCCCAATATCAAGTGGTACCAGAACGTCCCACTATCAAGGATGGTACAAAACCATTCCCCAAGGATAACAGGAACACACTGATAAGGTCAGGGTAACTACGTAATAAAAATGTTTTACTCAAACCAACATGTACAAGAGGATGGTTAGAGGCAGTATTGATTTGTTCGTATCAGAGTAGAAAGATGTATCCCTGAGGGAGTATCTTCGTCCAGCTGAGGGGGAAATGGACACAGCTCAGAGAATGGCGGGACTTTCCATTGTCATGGGTATACGTGTCTTAGCATCCTTGTAGAGTCTGCCAGGTGCTATTACTGTGCTTCATCGACAATAAACCTGGCCTGGCACCTTCGTACCTTCACGGATCTCGTGGTCATTGGGCAGTTTGCTCAAGCTCTGCTGTGCCAGCTGTCTGCGCAGAGCTGTGGCAGCCCCCAGGGAAAACACGCACACAATCAAACACCTAACCACAGGCCCTACAACTGGAAAAGCAGTTATCCATCCCTTACCAATTCCTCATCCTGGCCTGAGGCAATGGTGGGGGGTGGGCTCTGAGTCCGTTGCAATAAAGGGAGTTTGCTGTAACCTGTTGGATTTTATCTGTGCTAGCATCCCCCATATCTAATGAAGGGCTAGAGGCTGGAGCAGGCATGTTACAATCAGACCTGGCCTACAAACACCATAAACACTGCTGTCGATGGAGCGGGGCCTGCCTGCACTGAGCTCAAGATGGGCCTCCCACCCAGTCCATCTTCTAAAACCGGTCACAGAGCGGACCACCTCGAGCACCCCCAGCTTGACATGCTAAACCATGAGTTCGGCCCTGCGCTCACATTGCTGCTCTCCCTGGTTCTGCCGTGACAGCCAGGAAAGAACCTGGAATTTCCCAGGAACGTGGGACAAAGTGTCCGTTTCAAAGGAAGCCCAGCTGCTCGAACGGAAAGGGGCGTGGAGCCGTGCCTTGCCCTTCCCACATGCAAACTTGTGCAACCCCCGAAAGAGGCTCAAACCAAACCTGCACCAGGAAATGCAGCGTCAGGAGATGGGCTTCCAGCCTCCACCTTGAACTCTGCCGCTTGGCGATGGCAGTAGAAATAGAACCACCGTCCCATCCCGAACACAGCTGCAGCTTGCTGTGGGCCCAGCCCCGTGCCGCATCATGGTTCCTATGCATGCGCGCTCAGCCTTTCCCTGGGCTCTGTGTGGGAGCCACACTTGCGGCTGGTTGCCAGACATCAGGCAGGCCCCTCACCAGGCTCACCGTTCTGCCTCATGGGCCCCAGGGGGTGGTGTCGGTGACAACGGGGAGCAGAAGGGTTTGTCACCTCTTCCAGCCTACCAAACTGGCCACAGTGGGTCAGGCCAAAGATCCATCCTGCCAGTTAGTGTGTCTCCTGACAGGGGACAGGGCCAGCTGCTTCAAAGGCAATTAACAGAACAGGGCAATTAGCGAGTGATCCAGGCCCAGCTTCTGGCAGTGAAAGGTTTAGGGACACCCGGACCGTGGGGTTCCATCCTTGGCTAAGAGCCAGTGATGGACTCATCCGCCATGAAATTCTTTTTTAAACCCATTTCCAGTTCTTGCCTTCATAACATCCTGTGGCAAAAAGTGCCAAGGGCTGACTGGGCGAAGAAATACTTCCTTGTTTTAAACCAGCTGCCTAGCGGTGTCAGCGTGTAACCCCCCCCGGCCCACACATACACCCCCCCACCCCCGCTCGTGTGTTATGTGAAGGGGTAACACACCAGGCATGACGGTCTAGACCTCGATTATCCCACTCAACAGTCCCTGGCAGTTTAGTTTTGCCTCATGAAGCTGGTCCACACCCCAATCACCTCTGGGGCCGATCCCATTTCCAACAGATCCGATGGGGGCGACCAGGACCGTACGCAGCAGTCAAGGTGCGGGCATCCCATGGATTACTATAGTACCATGGTGTTTACTTCTTAGCTACCCCGTTCCTAATCGTGATGCCCCAAGTGGCTGTGAAGCACCGTTTTCCCAGGGCGCACGAGTGCCAGCAGGCGGGCTCAGGGAGGGGTGAGGGAGGGCCATCTCCCTGGGGCCTCTTTTGGGCAGGGGTGCACTACGCTGTTGTGACTCTGGAGGGAAGGGGGCAGGCTGTGTGTGTGGGGGGGCGGGGAGACGCCTTTCTCGGGTGGCTAAACATCCTGGTCCGTTTGCATGCGTGTAGGTCCAAGGGGGCAGCGGCCTGTTGGCAGCGCCTTTGTTGGGGGGGGGGGAATCACAGGCACAGCCCTGCACCCTTAAAGCCCTTGGCACAAAGACTTTTGTTGGTGAATTGCCCTTGGGCATTGCAAGCGTGCGCGCGCGAGGCCCGCGTTTCTGCCTGGCAGCACCCCTTAGCCTGGCTGCCTGGGGAGGGTTGGCACGGCCGTGCGGAGAGGGCAGCTAGTACCGGAGGGCTACAGCAACTGCTGGCAGAGAGCTAGGGCAAAAGCGGACGTGAGCTTAGACACACGTGCGGCTGGCCCGTGCCAGCTGACTCAGGCTCAGGGGCCGGTTAATTGTGATGCAGCCATTTGGGCTGGAGCCCAGGCCCCTACGAGGTGGGAGGGGGCCTGCTGGTGGAAAAAGGCCCCGCTCAGCACCGCCGTCCAGCCCGTTAAAAGGCAAGTTGGTGGCACCGTGGGGCTGGCAGGCTCCCTGGGAAGCAGCCAGCGTGTCCCACAAACTCCGAGGCGAAGGGGTGGCCACCGGGGCGCCTTGTGCTGCCCCCCCCCCCCCCACCCTGAGCCCCAGCTCCACGGATCCCATTGGCCAGGAACCTCAGTTGGCACGGCACAGGAGCTGCCTGAAGTGAGCGCTGCCCGGCCACCCCCCCCCCCACACACACACACAAAAACCTCTGCCCCCCTCCTGCACCCCAAATCCCCTCATCCCCGGCTCCACCCCAAAGCCCACACCTCTCTGCCCCAGACAAGTGAAAGTGAGTGAAGGAGGGGAGGAGTGAGCAATTGGGGGGGGGGGGGGAGGGGGAAATGGAAGGAGCGGGGGGGGGGGGGCTGCTCAGGGAAGGGCCAGGGAGGGGCACCCTCGTGTTCGGTTTTTCTGCAATAAGAAAGTTGGCACCCCCTGACTGGCCAGCCCTAGGTGTCTAACTGCAGTGTAGACAGACAGGCCCCTCGCACCTCCCTTTCTGCCAGGCCCCTACAAATGTGCCCAAGTCCTGGCACTGCTGAGCAGCGTGGGGCCCTACCGCGCACGCCCCTGCCGATCAGACGGCAAGCGCTAACGGGGCAAATGCCCAGGTTTGCCAAAAAAGTTGGGCTGTCCGGGGCCAAAACTGGCCATATGGAATTGCAAGGCCGGGATCTCCAAATTTTTTCAGTCACCCCCCCTCCCCACACACACACCCAGTCAGCACCCCTTCCTCCCTCCCCACCCCCTGCCAGGAGCAATGGGGCCAAAGGTGCAGCTGGGAGCAGGGTAGGGTGGGTGGCACTCCTTGCCCATCCCCTTGTGGGAGCTGACCCAGGCCCCGCCCTGTCCCCTCCATGAGCTCCACTGTTTGGGGACCACTGCCCTAGGCTGCAATAAGAGCCACCCAGGGAGCCAGGGCAGCTGTAGGGAGCCCCAGGCCAGCCCCTGGCCCACATCCTTGCACCCCAAGGTGCACTACCCAGGGCAGGTGGAGGGCCCAGGGCTCCCCACAGCAACCAGGCCCCCTGGGCAGCTCTTACCATGGCCCAGCTTCTGGCCAGTCAGGGGACATGGAAGGGGAGGAGCAGGGGGCAGGGCCCCATGGCAGGGATGTGGAGGCCCAAAAGTTCTGTGTGTAAATAAATCTTCATCCGCCTCTGCCCAGGAGTCAAAATACTCAGCAACTGAGGTGCTGCGTGAGGGGGTCAACCTCAGGGCCCTTCTCTGGCAAGTTCCCTTGGGGTGGGGTCCCTTTGGAAATCCAACCAAGAGTTTTGCTGCTTCAAGCAGTGAGGCAGCCGACCCAGGGATGGTCCGGAAGGGGGTCAGCAAATGACAGCTGGCAGGGGCCAGGCAGGGCCGCTCTGTGGAGGGGGTGCAGGATTGTGATGAGTGTCCTGCGATCTCCAGGTTAAACCCGCACCTGCTGTGCATCCGGTGGGTGACCCTGGGTGGAGCAAGGAGGGCTAAACACCTGGGCATTCGACGGGTACGTAGGCTCCACTGGCCCACAGCTGCTTCTGCTGTGCCCGAAAAAGGAAAAAGACACCACACCTAAAGCAGTGGGGGAGGGGTTCGTTTGTTTTATTGTCCAGCTTCTAAAACGATAGAACGAAGACGAGAGCTTGAAAAATACAGGGTGGGCAGCATCCTGCTAACCCCAGTTGTCTTGACCGTTCACTTGATGTTTGCGTCTTTCCCCACCAGGAGCGTGGCCAACAAAGCCACTCTAGCACGGTGCCCGACAGCCTGGTTTGCTGGCTCCCTGCCAGGCAAGTGTGTGACCCCAGAGCACCCCCACAGGCATGCTCCAGCCTTCCCTTACAGCTGTGGCCTACAGGACTGGACAGAGAACACGCCAGAATCTCACAGCAGCTGGGTCGGGCTCGGGTTGGATCGCTTGGACCTTTTTTTCCTTACAAAGCGTTTGAGGGGAAATTAGATGTTTTAAGAACTAAAATACAAGGTTAAAAATAGATATTTCCACTCTCCTGTGGTTGGTAAATACAAGAGCTGGTCAGAAAACATCAATATTTGAAATTTTTCAACACCAAAAAAGGGCAACATTTTTTGCAAAAATATGTTCCTTTCTTTTTTAGCCATCTCTAGTAACCACAGTGTCTTACTTTGCAGTGAGACAGATGACTTGGGAATGCCTTTGGGAGCCTGTCCACCTGCATAGCACTCTCCTGTTACAGCTTATTCCAAGTGAGCGCCTTGTTTGTGCATTGGCTGGTCCGTTCACTACTGATGGAAGGAGGGGCCCATTCAGCCAGGCTGAAGTATTTGCGCGTTCCCCATCAGTGATTCCACCCAGGTCTCTTGGCTGCTCACTTGAATTTAGGGGTCGAGAAGCCTGCGTCTCTGGGAGCTCAGGTTTGGGCCCCCACACCAGGTACTGCTTGTGTGGCCATGCGCGGTCTCTTAGCGGAAGGAAGGAGAGAGATGGATGTGAGTGGCAAAGACACGTTTTCACTGTCAGTCGTAATGGGAGGTACCGTCCCACCTCACTGTAGGCGGGGGGAGCCTGCAAGGCAGCCGCTAAAAACGATATACAAACTGACCGGCAAAATATGTTTCTCAGCAGTATCTTTGCTGTGGCTGGGGAAGAGGTGGCGTTCGCTCCCTACACAAATCTGAAAGCCAGTGGCCAACACACTGGGATGCAACTCCGACGTACTCAAGCCAACCTGTCTAGTGGCTTGGGCGAGGCTCTCTGCTGCACCGCCCTTGGTTAGAAGAGAGGTGCTCCTCGCCATCATTAGTGATGTGGCAGCATCAAAATACAAGCGGTTGGTGTCACAGAGTGGGCGCCTTTGTGATCAGGAGCTGGGGCATATGGAGCTGCCATAACAAACATTCTGCTAACACACTCACGAGTCTTCCCAAACAGGCTCCCAACGGCCATCAGCCCAACTGAGGGTCTCGCGCGCTCTCCATTAGAAACAGACATTTTAGCAGCTTTCGTTTAATGGTGTTTCTATTCCCCTCGCGGAGGAGAATTGACGTGACACTTCTGTGGCCCTGCTGTCCGACAGTGGTTCTCCACCTTTCATGCATCAGGACCCTTGTTCCCAAGTGGCCATGAGCTGACTGGTGCTTGCCTGCCATTTAGCAATTTGGGGTGAGCCCAGTGGACTAGCTGACCCCCCGTTCATTGAGAACCTCGATGTAGAAGATTTTGCTGGGGGTGCCCACTGTTGGCTACTTTTTTCTTGCCTGTTGCCTAGATCTTTATGTCCTAGAGCTCCCCTGTCATCCATTAACACAGTCTCTACAGCTAATTGTACTCACACAACACTAACCCGTCACAATGCTTAGCAAGGAGGGAGCAGCATCACACAAAAATGACCTTCCTGTTCCTTCCAGCTGGCTTTGGAAATCTCTGCGCTCTCAAGCCAATTGGAGACGGTTACGTGAAATAATTGGACATGCCCATTGAAGTCCTTGCTTCTGCACTGCTTGTCGCGAAGGACACCTCTTCATCCTCCTCCTCCAGCTGGAGGCTGCCCGAGGACAGACGCACCCGGGCCAGGGGTGACTTTTCTACCCGGCCATACAGAGAGTAGTAATCCACGTTCAGGAGATCCGAGTCGGAGTCACTGGACTCGGTCCCGCTGCCCACACCGCGTTCGGCCTGGCGTGGCGCTGCGGCGGGGTTGGAAAGCCCTTGTTGGGCGAGCAGGGACCGTAAGATACTTACTTTTCTACTGCTCAGAGCAGGGCAAGGGCCCAGCGGCCTGAACTCCGACCCATATGGGAAATGGATGGTCTTCATATCGGACTGGCTCCAAGATCTTTTGGGCAGTTGCTCTTGAATGCTGTAGTCAAAAGCCCCAGCCAGGGTTCTGCTCTCCTCTTCCAGGTGCCTGCCAACACAGCAAGCCCTGGGCAGGGCCTCGGGCTGCAGACCCTTCCTCTGGGCCGGGGCCAGACATCTCTTGGAAGGTTTCATTGACACGGGGCCAGGGCCACTCAGCCCTCTCCCTGCTTCCTCAGCAGCAGCTGGCGTGTGGCGTGGTACCGGGGGAGGCCTGTCCACATAAAAGAACACTTGTGGAGACATCGTCTCCAGCGGCTGGCTGGTGGAGGGGACGTACGGTACATCTGTGTAGCTCAGCTGCCTGGAGGCGACCTCCCTCATGTTGCCAACCGAGGTGCTTTTACTGTTTCCAGCAAGCTTGTGGCTGGGCTGGAAGGAGGTCAGCGGGCTGCGCTGCCCGAAGCCGTCGGCCGGCTCCCACTCCAGCTCCAGCTCGGCGTAGGCCAACGGGAAGGCCGAGCTGCTTTTGGAATGGGGCAGGAGCCTGGGGTCAGCCTCGGGCTTGGAGCGCTCCAGCTCCGCCGCGAACGTCACCTCCACGGAGGAATTCCGCCTCCTGCTGTCCAGCATGGGATCTGACGCGTGGACCCCGTTTGCGTTCCAGTAACAGGCTCTGCTGCCATATGCCAGGCGCAGGTCTTCAACCTAGGGAGACAGCAGGGCCCGTTAGGGTAGGGGGACAGGACTGGAAACGGGGGTGGGGAGGGTGTCTTTCTCTCTCTCTTGTCTTCTATTTGGTTTTATTGCTTTCTAATCATCACAGCCCCAAGAGCAACCAAATTAATAAATGCTGCTCCATAGCCCCTGGGGTCGAACACAGCCCTGTGCTCCCTTCCCACCAGCACCCAAACCAACCAACAGCTGAAAGCCAGGCAGTGAACCAGAAGCTGTGTCTGCCTCACCCCCCTAGCTCTCTGGGGAGGATTCAGAGGTGAGCCAAGGCCAGGTTACAAACAGCGAAGGCCACGTGTTTTATTTTCCACACCCCCCGACTTGAGGTGCTCTGAGGGCACTTGTCAGCAGTGGGTGCAGCTTTCACACACACGCACCCACCTTGCAAGGGTGGGAACGCGGCCAGATTCTGCTCTCAGCATGGGGCTGGGCAGGGCGCAGTGAAAGCCCAGCCTGAGCCATGCGGTTACCGTCAGAACTTTGCAGGGTGTGGCCATGAGGCAAAGTCCCACCGGCTAGGCTACCTTGGTGGTACCACTTCCCTTCCCCTGCCGCCAGGAGCCACCTCTGTTCTAGCCCCTCTGGGCCACTAGGGGAGCCCTTAGCTGGGGTGGGGTGGGGGGATGAACACGTGCTGTTATCCCCTGGTCGGGTGGGAAACAGAGAGGAATGTGGGTCCCAGCACGGAGGGAACCAAGTCTCCCGAGTGTGTCCTACACACACACACACATGCCCCATTACAACGCAGCACGATCCACTGTGCAAGGGGGAGATAACATACCCAGCGCTTCCCACACACACTGTACAGTGTTGTACACAAGTGCTGGCCCCACCCTGGGGTTCACTCCTTCGCCATTCACATACCAGCTCACTGGACATGCGCTCCCCTGTTCGCTGCTGTGCCATGCTCCCAAAATACCCGGGGAATGGCCCAGCCTGGGGTCCCGCGCAACTGCTTTCCCTCCAGTACAGCAAAGGCTGCGGTGGAATGCTTAACCAGGCATGGCGGCCAGTGGCTTTCTCCATCAGCGACAGACACTGTATTTCTCTAAGGAGAGACCAGTACCTGTTTGGACACGTCTGTGAGGAGGTCTGGGGACGAGCGGCACTGCCTTTCGTGGTACTGAGCCGGGTAGTGTTTCCTGCAAATCCAAGACGCACGCGTCAATTTCCCCTTGCAAATAACCCGTGAAATGCTACAAAGCCGCCTCCGCCCCCTCAGATACCTCTCAAACGGCGTGCTCTTCCCCTTCCCCTTGCGCCCATGCTCCAGCAGCTGCCGCTGGGTTCTGCCACTGGCAAGGACAGAAAAACGCTCGTGAAAGACCAGTTCTAACAGTGCTGCCCGTACAGCGGGACTGGAACCTCTGCTGTAGCCAACACAGCAGCAAGGGCTGGCTCACGCCTTGCACTACAGGCCTGGACAAAGGAGCTAGGGGTGCAGGCAGGCAGGCCTGGCCCGGCCCTGCTGCTTCCACAAGAGGTGGGCTGGGTGAGATGCAGAGGGTGTGGGTAGAGGGGTAATGGGCCTAGGCTGCCTCGCCCAGGCAAGGAGGAAGCCAGACAAGAACTGCAACTCAGAGGAGACTCTCGGGGATAAAAGCCCTGGGGCATGGCTCAGTCCAGCTGACTCTGACTCCGGGGCTACAAATCACTGTGTAGACGTTTGGCTCAGGCTGGAGCCAGAGCTCGGGGACCCTTCACTTGAGCTTCAGACTGAGTATCTACAAAGCAATTGTTCCGCCCCAGAGCCCAAGCTCTACATGCCACGTCAGCTGACCCGGGCCAGCCACGTGGGTTTTAATCCCTGTGTAGACACAGCCTTTGTCCCACTGCCGCCCTCCCAGGGCTACTTGCTCATCAGGCTGTGCCTAAAGGCACATGCAAGCGCCAGGTTTCTTTGCCCCACACAGCTAACACTACCAAAGAGACTTATGGTATTAACGGGGCGAGTGTGAGCGATTTACCTATAGCGGAAACTTGAACCTTTGCTGCACAGGAGGGCTTTGGGCTTGGATTTTGGTTCTTCAGAGAGTCTAAAAAAAGCGTGGTACTCCACACACGTCTTCCAAAATGCTTTGCACGCGTCTCTGCTTGCCATGGTAAACTCTAAGGTGTCCTTGCACAAAGCCTGGATGAGAACCGGACATTCGAAACACAACCCAAAGGGTTAATCCACCCCCACTCCCCACCGTGCTGCAAAGTCAGTGTCCAACAGCTGTGAAAACACGAGCACTTTTTCACACAAGGAGACATGCACCTTTGTGCAGCGAGTGATGCAGGACTGGCCTGTGAACCCTGTGACCCAGGCCTCTCAATGGACTTAGAGCTGAAACTGAGGGTGGGTCTCATTGGGGACCGGGTGAGGGCCCCTGTTCTGATGTATATGGGCCGCTAGCCTGTGTTACACATGCACCTATCTTCCCCCTAGCAGTGCCTGGGGCAGCTGAACGTATAACCAGGCTGTCGGCTGGAAATACACTGGGACCCCAAGGATGTTATCCATCTTCACATTGTGGAGGCCTAACCACTCTGTGCCCCTGGGGGTTCTCACCCATTTCACCAGCATGAGAAGAAATGTCTCAGGACAAATAAGAGAGCGGTGCAGAGGTGAAGCGAGAGACCACACACCAACACTGACCCAGCCCAAGGGAACAGATTTTATTTGAAGTGAGTGAACTTTGGGGCGGGGCGCTGGAACAGGGAGGGATGGGGGGCCATGGCCCCACCACTTTTAAAAGGGAGAAGGGGCGGCGTGGAGGCGGGGCCTCGGGGAGATGGGGCGGCATGGGGGCAGGGCCATGGTTCGGATGCCAGTGACACTCCCCGACACACACACTGTTAAGAGGCTTTCACTGCCCTGCTTTGGGGGCCCTCCAACCTTGGCAAAATCCTTCTAACTATTCCTAGCTTGATACAAACACGTAATCTTCAACCCTGGCAGCTGGCGGTAACGTGGTACTTACAGAGATATTTGCATGTAGTTTGATTAGAAAATGTTTCCTCTTAAAACTCAGTTTCCGAATTTTGGCCCAGTTGAATGTGTTGATCTTTGTGTTCCCCTGCAATGACAACGCATTGGAGCATGATTGGTCACGGTCAATCTTTACAAGCCAGGGCCTTGATCTGGCGAAATGGGCTCAGCTTCTATTGACTCCAATGGGTGTAGGTGATGCTCCAAGGATTTGGCCTCAAATCCTGCTCACTTTACAATCCCACAAATTTACTAGCATCGGTTTACCCTGACTCCAAGGGGATGGCATCAGACAAGCGGATTTGGACCCAACCGGGAAGGATAAGACTACAGGGCCTGATCCTGTGTTAATTGACGTTAATTGCAAAGCTCCAAGGGCCTGTCCAAAGCCCCCTGGCATCAGTGGAAAGACTAGCACTAATTTCAATGGGCTCTGGCTTAGACACTCCCGCCCCCGGTCGATTTCAGTGATGCAGGATCAGGCCCTGTATGAGGCGGGGGTGCTCTATCCTCTGTCCGTTGGGCAAAGTGCAGGTGTTATGTACATTATTCCCACATTAACCTAACCATAATTTACCTTTACTGCTCTAGCATGCGTTCTCTCTGGGCAGCAAGCTTTAAAGGGAACTCCTCAACCCAACTGGGTTATTGCCACGTTTATGACACCAAGCGCCGTGTTCTCACATTGAAAAATAGTGAGCTTTAGAGGAGGCACTTACGCTCCTGTTATGTCACGTGTGCGTGTGTCTACCTCGCGGAATAAACAGCCAGGCATCGCATCACTCGCCTGAGCATGTACTCCACATGCTGCTAGCTATTAACAATGGGCCACTCGTTATCATTTTCTTCCACCCCATCGCAGGTTGGAATTAGCCTACTGTATGCAGGAAACACAGAGGTATGTATTTACGCTGCGCAGATGTCTTGATTATAGCACTCGGGAATTGCATAGCCATTAGATGGCTATTTTCGCTTGAAGATTATATGGGAAACGTGCGGCGTTGCCATAGAACGTGAACGTCTTACTTCTCAAACACGTTAGTTTACAAGGGGCAAACAACACTAATTCTCAAAGAGGACACCGCCCACATCAGTGGGAAGCCGTGTATGGAGATGTAGGGTGTGATTTGTCACTCGTTAGCACTGGCTAGAGCTCAGAGACTTGCCCAGCTTGAACAAATGTGGAGGGAAAAGTTTCAGAATGCTTTGTTTTGACATTTTCAAAATGAAAAATTCCAGATTTTTGGTTCATAACAACTTTTTGTCTAGAAATTTAAGCTAATTTGGCTGAAAAGGGTTAAATTAAAAAAAGATTAAAATTGAAACAAAACGTTTCAATTGACCGGAAACTAAAAAAAAATAGATTTTGGTTTGTTTGTGACTATTTTTGAGATTTTTTACTTTTCAGGATAGGAAATAATTTTCAACTCTGGGTCCTAGGACAGGAAAACCATCTCCCCCCAGCGCTTAGCAGGCTGGTTAGTGGTGAAGATAGGGAAGTCCTTGGATTTCAGACAGGGGCCTACGACAAAAAATGTTTACTTCCCTTATCTACTCACTACAGCTCCTAGCTACAGAGCCTGTCCCATCCCTAAAGTGATTTCTTGATGCAGGAGGACGGCACATAGGCTCTGGTACAGCTAAAAGACCTTTGATGAGAATGGAAGGAAAAGCTCTTCCAGAAGGGTCCCATTGCATTGTACAGTAGGAATTTAAAAGGGAAACGTTACCCGTAAAACCAGCACTCCCATGTGCGTAACAGCCAGATTGATCTGCGTCCCTTCCCCATCGCTTGCAGGGTGGGGTCTAATCCCATACATGTCTAACTTCCTGGCTATGTCCAACAGGTGAACGTCCGACTCAGCTGGTGTCTTCCCACTAGGGAAGGAAGAGGGTTATAAGTCTAATGACATTAGAATAAAGAGCCCCCTCTAAAGTCCTCTGACAGCACCCCCACATACTGTATACAACAGTCTCTGCTACAGGTATTTAATATCTGTGCTGTGAAAGGAGCAGGTACATTAGGAGCTGAGTAGGGCACAAGTGTGGATGAAATGCTCACACATGCTTCTGGTGATAATGCATGATCTTATCATCTAAATATTCCTGGTTGGGTAAATACTGGTGGCTCTCCAGGTGCTTCTTATCTGTTTCTTCATGAAAGTCCCCCAGCTCAGCTGTATGGAAAGAAACGAAGAGCGGCATTTAGCAATGTCCATTGAGGAGACCACAGCAGGCAAACTGAGCAAGTATTCAGAGACCAGTGACTTCGCTGATCCCTGCCAGGACATAGACATGGTGCGTGCGGGATGGAAACAGCCAAGACAGAGAACACCAGCTACCAGCTCTTCCTAAATGTGATGTTTCTGATGTACCCTCACTGAGGTCCTGGTCCTGTCTCACTGACATCAATGAGAGTTGCTGTTAGCTTCGACGGGAGCTGGCCTGAAGAACCAGTGACACACTGTTCTGACAACAGGGCTCTTCCTGCCTCAAGGGCTTTGATGGGCATGGAAGGGGCCCAGCACCTTATCAGGGGCACTCAGCCCCTCAGCGGATGGGGGCCTAGCTAAGCCGGACTAAGGGCCTCATCCTTCCAACCTCACTTGTGACTGTAAGGATTGCTCACGTGACTAAGGGTCAAAAGGTCAGGCTCTAAGTGGAGATCCAGATGCCTTCACTCAACCTTTCCATTTTGGACCATGAGTGGTGGCCCTTTGACCTGTGGGAGGCCATGCAGGCTCCATGCAGTGACTCTTGGGGAGGGCTGAAGGCCAAGGGAACAAGCCATCACTGGCTGGACCATGGTGTGGGAGCCTCTGAGAGTTGGTCGCCCCAGGGACACTGAACAGCCTGGGCCATCTTGCTAGCCAAAGGCCGTTTCCACTCTGGTAACGCCCTCCCTGCTGTTCTGAGATGTACAGACGCTTCCGATTCAAAAGCTCAGGGAACACAGCTGGGCAACGGCGGCACACTGAGCATTGAACCGTCTTTGCAAACACACATTAACTCGCCTCACTGCACTCCAGTTCAGCAACTCCGCCCTCCTCCGCAAGCCCTTTACGCACGTGTTCAAGCCCCCTTGCTCCAGTGCTCTGCTGAGCTGGCGCCTTTGGGCTTGCTCCTGCTCCCGTCACAGCCAGGGAAAGATTCCTAGGGACTTCAGAAGAAGCTGGCTCACCCCTGAGCTGCACCCCTCTCTCCTGAAAGCAGTCTCCCAAGGCTGCTGCTAGGCTTGCTCTCCTGTGGCCAGGCCGACGCTGAAGCATGCTAGGCTGATTTCACTCAAAACTCTGGCTGCAAAAGCCAGATGATGGGATATAATAGTGAGTCTACTGCAGTCAGGGTCTGCTGCTGCACTCAGCTACGGGCAAGGACCGGGCAAACAGACAGCATTTGTCAGACATCCACTGCTTTGCCCTGACATCCAGAGCAGAGCAGAGGGGTTGGTTTGTAAGCTAAGCCATGGTTTGGAAGTGAATAGTTAGAAACGGGCTTTTGGAACAATACAACAATGCACCATTTTTCAGGCTAAGAGGGCCAATGGTGATCACCTAGGCTGACCTCCTGCATAACACAGGCCAGAGAATGTCACCCTGGGCTTCCCTTGTGGCTGAACAAGAGCGGATCTAGAGCATGCTCGTCTGTCCTTACACTGCAAGAGGTGCGACACCAGCAAAGCGGCACTGTTCTCGCTGCCCGGGAGCCTCCCGACTGCCAGGTCCCTCTTGATTTGAAGGGTAAAGAGATACCTGCAAAGGAAGAGAGAAGAGTTTCCTGACAGAGAGCAAATGTTCCCGCTCCCAGCTCAGACAAGTTATTAAGAAACACAGCCAGCCCACCTCCTGCAGCGGGGACTTTGCTAGACAGGGGACCCTCCAGGAATCAGTTAGGCTTTGCACCAGTGAAAGGCCCAACCCTGCAAGGAGCCAAGATCCTTCACCTGCCAGCTCTGCTCGGAGTGGCCGTGCCGGGATCAGTGTGGATGTTTATAAATCTCTGGGCAATACTCAGATGGAAGACAGTACACACGGGCCCGGCAAGACACCATTTGGATCCTGATACATCATGTTCACTGGGGCCCCTCCCCGGCCCATTTCATGTCAGTCACAGACATTTTTGAGGCCCCGGTCCAACTGTCCCCATTTCCCCTGCCTCTTGTCTGCCTGACCCAGAGCCCAGGGACGTCAATGGGAGTGTTTCCACTGAGACTGATGGGCTCTGGCTCAGACCCCATGAGTGCTCAGTGGCCCAGAAGAGGGGCAAGTGCATGGCTGGTGGCCCTCTTTTCGCTCCTGGATCAAGGAGATGGGACGGGCTGGTACACATGGGACTCCAAACCATGCTGGTTCACCACCATGTCTGAACGCAGCGCTTTCCAGCAGGGCTCTGCTAGAGAACAGGGTCATGGGGTGTGTTTGGCAGAGAGCGGACTTGAGAATGCTCAAGAAATGATTATTAGAGATAAGAAAAGAGAAAGGGATTTTCACTCTTTGTATGTCTCTCTACTGAGTTCAGAACTTAGCCGAACAGCTTCAGGGTTACGTAACAATGAAACTGGCTTGTGTGTCTTAGCTGTAAAACCCTTGGTCTGTGCAAACAGCAGGGCCCTCCCAACAAAGCAAGCTAATAAGTAAAACCCAAGCCCACAAAACACAGACCAGACAGAAGAATAAACACCTGCTGTAAGATAAAAACCACTGGCTGGAGCCAGTGGGGTTGACAGCAAAGAGGAGAAGGACAGAAGTGGACAGCTAAGCAAAAGGGTATTAATTTAGGGGATTTATGCATGAGAATGTTTTATTGAGGAAGTCATACTAGAAAGGTACACAGATGGGCAAACTGAGTCTGTTCAAAGTTACAGAACCAAGGAGAAAGTTAAATGACTGACCCCAAGCGACTGGAGAGGACACATGGGAAGAACACAGCAGAGACCAGAGATTTGAAAAAGTCACCCTGTCCCCAGGAAAGGTAACTATATCACTTGTTGTTCTTGCCATATCGGGTTTTGCATGTATATGTGATGGCAAGGTGATCATGGCGTTGTCTTAAAATGCCCAGAATAAAGGCTAAAAGGAACTGTTCAAGTTTCAGTTGAAGTGGACCTCGTTTTACCCCCAACAGTTCTTTCATTACCACTGTGGACAGGGATTTCTTCAAATCAGAGAACTCTGTTGCTGGCATGGCTGCGAAACCAACCCAGGTAGGGCCTGCGGAGGGAGTCACTTGCCTCGCAGGCTGTGCCAGAAGTAAAGACATGAGCTGATAGTTTCCCCAGAGGGAAGAGAAGAAGTTAAAGGGGATGATGGAAAAGGGGGCGGTAGGGACTCGCCTTCGGAGCGGGCTGGGAGCTGCAGCCGTCTGATGCAGATAGGAAGCAGCCCTGGCTGAGTAGGGGCTGGCGCGGGTGATGACCTGGCACCTCCCCCGCCCACAGTAACTAGACATTGGGCGCCTGGCCAGTAGATCTGAAACTGGACTTTCTGGTTGAAAACCGGACAACTGACCACCCAAGAGTCCAGTCCCCTTCTATTGCAGAAAACCCTAACATGTAACCCCATTCATAAACTTATCAAGGTCCATCGTAGACCAAGACAATCAACCAGTATCCTGGTGTGATTTTGATTTTAAACTCAGATCATTTTACACATTGTAAAGAAGCATTGTAGAGACTGGTGGTTTTAGCAGCAGGGTCAGGAACAATTGAAGCTTTCGACACCCAGTGTGTGGGAAGCAGTTTGGGATTGTGAAATGAGGTGTGTCACTTGGGTGTTTATCAGAGAAATAACACTGGCATTTGAATGGCAATCTGTAGGTTTCAGAGTGAATACAACACTTCGAACTGTGGGGCAGGTCACACCTCTCAGAGCTATTGTCTTAGGTTGGCTAAAGAATCTGCATGAAGCTGCTGTGTTGGTTTTATATTTAGTTCATGTCTGTAATGTTTTCTCCAAAACATAATTGTTTTTTAAATAAAAACTTATGTTCTAGAACACAATTTTGCACTAAAAGGTAGGATTCTGCAGCAGATTTATAGATCACGGGGAACCCCAATCAATGCTTAGCAAATAAAAATCTGCAGTATATGGCTATGGCTAATGGACAAATAAAGATGATGGATTAGGCAGAATTGTTTGTGTTTCTAAACAGAGGGTCAGAGAAAAAAATATTTGCAACATATAAATTTGCACCGACAGTCAACATGACTATTGCTAGGGGGCTTGTTTTGGCTATGGACACTGAATGATTTAGACAACGAAGACTGCGTTACAAAGCCTCTAGTAGCGAATAAAAATGTAGACCATGAAAAGAAATGGTGCCCTACCTTGTCAACTCTTCTCTCAGATGTCCAGGGTCCACTGGGAAAAATTTCACCATAAATTTGAAAAGAACCTCCTTAGGATCTTAAAACACAACATCTTCATAAGTTTTATTTCAAATGTCTGTTGAGAACATTTACAAATCTCTTCACACACCCTGCACCCACGCACACCGGGGAGTAAATCACTTTGATTCCTTACAAATTCGGCCCTGACGGGTGCTAAGCATCGGGGACGTGATCCTGCAGGGTGCTGAGCCGGGGCTTCAATCCAGCCACGTACTTAATCAGAGGCTCAACTTGAGCCACATGAGCAGTGCTATTGAACTCAGTGGAAGAACAGCCCCACTCCCGTAAACAGGATAACCCCGACGATTCAAATTAAACACATGCTTGAGCGCTGCCCTGGATTGGGGACAGGGCGCTCAGTGCCTGGCTGGATTGAGCCACCGCAGAGCAAGTGCAATTCCCATTGGATTCCAATCACCTCACAGGATTGGGCCCATCGTGCCGCTCCTTTGCCCACTGAATTCAAGAGGACCGCAGTGCCCGACATTCAAACAATCGTGTTTAGCATTTCTTAATGTGCCTATCACAGTGGGGCTCTGGTCTGCCATCTATTCTGAATCAGCCCTTCCCATCGAGACAATACCGAAGTTACGGGTGTGCAATGAAATCCCATACAAACAGAAAATGTAACCAGCTCATTCTGCAGGGCCCAGAGGAGGTGTAAGGAAGAAACAATCCTTCCAAAGGCTAGTTTGTGCACTGAGGGGCAAATTCTGCTATCGGAACTGTAGGGTCAACTCAGATCAGTGTAATTGCAGGGTTGTTTTGGGCAGGGAGGGGCTGTTGGCAGGCATGTCATTGAGAAAATCCTATGGGGAACCATATTCCCAGCACCCACGTCTGCCCACAGTTCCACCCAGATAAATCCTGCAGGCATCTGGGTGGGTTTAAAGAAGGGCAGACTTGTGGGCTTGACAGAGTTTTAAAGCACTTTGTGTCTCGGCCACAGGTGGGCTAGAAGGGAAACCCAAACGGAACGAGGTGGCCTACGAAAGGGCACCGGTAAATGGCCAGACTGCAGTGGAGTTGATTCCGGGGCCCCAGCTGCCTTTCTGTGGAATAATGGACACACAGCTGTCGAGACTAAGGCGGTGGCTACACCACGGAGCTGACGGCGGCACGGCGAGGGCAGATGCTCTAGGCCGATCGGAGAGGAGAGAGTTCTCCCGTCGACTTCATGACGCCAGCGCCCGAGGCGGCGGTAGCTACGGCAGCCGGAGACGCTCTCCCGGAGACACAGCGCCGTCCACACCAGCGCTTAGGTGGGTGTAACTCACGTTGCTCAGGGGGGTGACATAGTCACCCCCCCAAGCCACGTAATTTAGACCAACCTCAGCTGTAGTGTGTACAGAGCCTTCCATGTGGAGTCGGAAGGCCGACGGCTGGGTCTGCAGCCTTGCCCCTGGAAATGTCCCAGCACACACCTTAGCCCTGCCTTGCCCTGTGTGGGTCGAGGGGACTCCGGGAGCTACATACAAAAGTATTGGCTTCCCTGGAACTGGATTAAGGGTAGAATCACCTGTTCCTCTCTGAGCCCGGGGGGTGACATTTGAATAGAAGATAGGAGTCACCTTGAAGCAGGGAAAAGCTGAGAAATTCACAGGCAGTGATATGGCAGCAGCCTCTGAAATGGCAGCGCTGAGGAGGGAGGGGTCAGGGAGGGGGTGGGGACAGCTGTGCTTCAGTCCATTCTGACCGGCATGCAGGACAGCACGCAACAGAACGTGCGTATGCAAAACCTGCAAAGGGGCTGCTGCATTTTCTAGCCTGCAGGTCAGGCCAGCCTGAGAGCATGTGGCATACCCTGCTTCTGAGCTGTGGCAAATCACCCAGGCCAGCCCAGAGCCGACACGTCACAGCCACGAAGCAGGTGTTTGTGCCAGGCCTTTCACTCACGTTGAAATGCATGGAGGGCAATGCTGCAATCCAGCCCCGCTGCTTTGTTCTGCAGCCTCACCTCCTGCAAACAGGAACCACGATTTCACACAGGGCTCAGTGCAGCAGATACCTGAGCTTGATCTTGCTTGCAAATTCATTTTTGAAAATCATAATCTAAGCTGATGGGGAAATGGTTTAGATGATTGGTTCTGTGGCTGGCAGTCTGCAGGTCACCTCGGGCTAATCCCAGCTGGGATGGGATGCTTCTCCCTGCAGAAGCCCAGCACCAGGCCTAGCTGCCGCCAACACCATGCATAGGCCAGTGCTTAATTGTAACGACAGAGGTGCCAGGCTCAAGCAATTTGTTTACATTCATAACTGATGCAGCAGGCCCAGAGGGGCCGGGACTCAGCCCTGGCACAAATTACACACTGGCCTCCACCCGGGCTAGCCTGTGCAGCGGAGTGAATGTCACCAGTTATAGCCCCTTTGCTTGTGTAAGGGTTGCAGAGACCAACTTAGAGCTAGACTGTGAGCCAGTGATACTCCGCCTGCGGCTTGCGAGCCCCAACTGGGGCTTTACTGGGGCTCTTTACAGCACATGGTCCTAAAACACTGGGTGATTTCCTTATTAACCAGCCTGTTATTAACCAGTCAGGAGGCTTTTACTATGTTATTAACCAATTAAGTTATCAACTTGCACAAACTTATTAACTTGTTTGCTGTGAGAATAATCTATATGTACACTGCATATTTCCCCGCCATGCTGTTTATATATGAAGAGTACTATAGTAAATGAAACAATGAATTCACATCACTGGGGCTCCTTGGGGTAATGTCACTCACTCATTTGGCTTCTGAATCACTGAGGTCTGAGTATCACTGCTCTATGCACATGTAGCTACACTCCAGACAGAAGAGTAGCTTTTGGCCCAACACTGATCAGGCATGTGAGCTGCCAGGATCTCGCAGCCTGACTTTTGTTACAGACAGGACAGCATTACCCTTGCTCTGCTGACAGACCGTGATCAGGATGTAGAATGGAACCTGAAGCTTGGCCAACAGCCTCACCCAACTCCGCAGCACAAGGTGAACCCAAGCAAATGCCAGAACCTGAAAGCCCATGTCCCCAAGCCTCAGCCAGCTCACGAATGTGCCGGTGAGACTTCTGGTATTAGCTGACATTTGTCTGCAGCGGCTAGTACACGGTTATTCCTTAGACACTTACTTTTCATCTGCTTTGTTATGGGTTTTAGAAGCTCCAGCCAAACCTGCAATAACAGCAATGGAGAAGTTGGTGAAGACACAGCATGAAGTGCTGGGTTTGTATTAATAAAAACAACACAACTCTTTCTGTCAGGAGAGAAAGTAGAAAAGATACAGGCCTGCTGATGCTAAGAAAAAACTAAAGAGTGACCTGCCAGTAATGGGGGAGGGAAGAATAATAAACCCAGATGGGGCCGTGTTCTCCCACTGCAAGACAGGAGGAAGTCACTCGAGCACACTGAAGTCAATGGAACTTAGAATCACAGAATACCAGGGTTGGAAGGGACCTCAGGAGGTCATCTAGTCCAACCCCCTACTCAAAGCAGGACCAACCCCAACTAAATCATCCCAGCCAGGGCTTTGTCAAGCCGGGCCTTAAAAACCTCTAAGGAAGGAGATTCCACCACCTCCCCAGGTAACTCATTCCAGTGTTTCACCACCCTTCTAGTAAAATAGTGTTTCCTAATATCCAACCTAGACCTCCCCCCCTGCAACTTGAGATCATCGCTCTTATCCTTAGGGGAAGAATTAGGACCAGGACACTCAAGAATTTTGATAGTTTCCACCTTTACTTCTGCTTTTGTGCAATGCCCGGGGGGGGGGGGGTGCCTGTTCTGCAGGAATCTCATTGTGCAACAAGAAGAAATGGGGAGGTGGGGGGGGAAGAATCCTGATCGAGACTAAAATCCCTTTTAAAAAACACGTGTAGGCTCTGAACAGGTCCGCTGATAAATGAGTGGGCCAGAAAGCACTCTGGGAAGCCCCTATGCCTGCAAGGGTCATGGCACAGCCTGTGCCCCCAGCATCCACTCTGCCCGGCAGAGCTTTCTGAAGGTTACTATAAAGTTATTCTAAGAAACCAGGGTGGCTAAAGTGCCATCCATGAGCCACGCGCTCCCCACTGCAGCCGCTTCCGCCTTTGGGCCCGAGACAGAGCCCGGAAGGTCTGTGAGGGTCAGCATGCGGTGCTGTCCCGCAGCAGCCCTCCACCCTGCCCACAATGGAGCGCTGCATCGCGGCACCTGCCCCTTCACATTGTCACGCCGCAGGGCCGCTGCAGCATGCCAACAAGGGGCAGCTCTCAAGCTGGTGTGACCCCCCCACCACTTATCGTCCCTGTGATAGGCAGAAGTTTCCACTCTTCTCAGTTACAACTGAACATCCCTATTCCGCCCTCTTCACAGAGAGGCCGTGTGGTCTAGTGGATGGGGAACAAGGAGACCCAGTCTCCATTCCTGGCTCTGCGTGCACTGATCTGCTGTGTGCCCCCTGGCAAGTCACCTCCCCTCCCTGTGTCCCGACTCCCCGCTCCCCCTTTTGTGGTGTCAGTGGTCAGGCTGGAAGGCCCGGGTCTTCACAGGTGCCTCGCGCCTACCGAAACCAGTGGGGATGCAGCGCCTTACGTCCTTTTGAGGATCTGGGCCTGGGCAATTGGGTGCAGTAACGATCTCTCACTGTGCATGTTCAGAGCCCCGTCCAGCCAGCTCCACTCTGGCCTGGGCCTCCAGGTGCTGCTGTAGGGTTGCCAACTTTCTAATCACACAAAACTGAACATCCTAGCCCCACCCCTTCCCTGAGGCCCCACCCCCTGCTCACTATATTCCCCCTCCCTCGGTGGCTTGCTCTCCCCCACCCTCACTCACTTTCACTGAGCTGGGGCAGGGAGTTGGGGTGCGGGAGGGGGTGAGGGTTCTAACTGGGGGTGCGAGCTTGGGGATGAGGGGTTCAGGGCTCCAGGCTGGGGGGTGAGGCCAAGGGATTCGGAATGTGGGAGGGGGTTCTGGGTTGAGGCAGGGGGTTGGGGTCTGGGAGAGGGTACAGGCTCTGGGCTGGGGCCAGGGATGAGGGGTTTGGGGTGCAGGAGGTGGCTCCAGGCTGTGGAGTGGGGCTGAGGGATTTGGAGGGGGCCACAGGTTGATGCCAGGGGTTGGGGTGCAGGGGGCGGTGAGGGCTCCGGCTGTGGATGCATGCTCTAGGGTGGGCCTGCGGATGAGGAGGGGGGGCTCACGGCTGGGGCACAGGGTTGGGGTGCAGGCTTCCCTTGGGTGGCTCCCACTCAGTGGCGCAACAGGTCGAAGGCAGGCTCCCTACCTGTCCTGGCTCTGCGCTGTGCCCCGGAAGCGGCCAGCAGGTCCAGCTCCTAGGCGGAGGGGCCAGGAGGCTCCATGCCCTGCTTTCGCCCATAAGCATGCCCCCCCCCCAGCTCCCATTGGCCACGGTTCCCAGCCAATAGAGTGCGGAGCCTGTGCTGGGGGTGGTGACAGCATGCAGAGCCCCATGGCCCCCCTGCCTAGGCGCTGGACCTGCTGGCCGCTTCCAGGGTGCATCGTGGTGCCAGGACAGGTAGGGACTAGCCTGCCTTAGCCCCGCAGCACCGCCGATCGGACTTTTAATGGCCCGGTCGGCTGTGCTGACCAGAGCCGCCAGGGTCCCTTTTCGACTTGGTCTTCTGGTCAAAAACCGGATGCCTGGCAACTCTATGTGGCTGTCAAACAAGAGATAGGCAGGGCGGGTAGAAGAGGGGCAGGACAGGAGCAGAGTGGGGAGGGGAAGGGCAGGTTGTGGGGACAGAGAGGCGCAGAGCAGGTGGGCGGATGGGAAGGCGCTGGGGTCAGGGGCAGACGTCAGGAAAAGGAAGCAGGACCAGCAATGTGATGTGTGTTATCGTGTCACTAAAGACTGTATCACGCTGCCTATGCACACGGTGGCAGCAGTTCCGCTGCATGGCAGCCTTGCTTCGGGCATTTCCCACCTTTAAATCCTTTGCTTTGCAACGTTCATGTCTGTCGGAACATATTTTTGAAAGGTAAAAGCGATCTAACAATGGAAGGTTGGGACTGCTGAATGCTGCCCTTGGCTATTGCTGTGTTTCGTTCAGCGGGAACTTGGCCTTATCAAAGAATGTTACTTACATTGTTTCCAGCCTGGCTTTGGAATTCCAATCCAAAGTATTCCTTCTCCACAAGGTGCAGGTGGCTGCAGCTCAGGTTGAACAACCCTTTGCCAGACGACTTTTGCTAGCAAACAAAAAGCTCATTAGAAGCAGCGCAGTGGGCAATGTCCGGAGCAAGAGGTTAACTGATGTCACTGATGTCAATAAGAAACTCCAGTCATGAATCTTTGAAGCTATTTACGGGCCCCTGGGCTAAGATGTCTTGCCTGCAAAGTAGCCAGCACAATTTTGGGATGAGACAAATAATAATTCAATTAAAATAACAAATACAATAAAACAAACTTACACTTTCTATATACAGACGTCTCGTAATTATTATATTCTTCTGCATGCCTTACACTGCCCCCACACGCCTCTGCTGTCTCCTTCCCCTTGTCAGGTGCTGTCCGTATGTAACATGCACAGCAGAGAACCGGAGTCCAAGTCCTGCTTCGGCCATGGGCCTGAATCAGAGCTCATGCTGGTGAGACTCCACTGAAGTCAGGAGAGTTTCACTGGTATAAACAGTTGCCTCTAGAGTGCATGAGTACACACAGCTGGGCCAGTGAAAGATATTACACACACACACACACACACACACAGAGTCTGATTTTCACACGGAGCACCCACTCTTTGAAAGTCAGGCCCCTTTAAGATGGGCACCTACAAATGGGCACATGCAAAGGCTCACGCGTCACTTTTGAAAACGTGGGCCACCGTCTTAAAGTGTATCAAGCTTTTCTAATGATTATATTCCACCACATGCTGGCGCAGTGCACGACACAGGTTATTCTGGCCAGCCCAAAAAAGAGCCGTAAAACCTTAATTCCACCCCAGCTCATCCCGTAGCTGACATACGACAGGTATTAAACAGAAGAAATATTTTATTTCAGAGAGTTTTTAAAAAGTGTCATTGGGCTATTTTTGAAAACTTGGAAATGTTTCTTTTTCACCTAAGCCAGCAGCATGATCCAGAGACAAACCTTATTCAAGAAAGGCGAGTTGCCGCTGCATTTGAGCTGGACGTGAACTGCTAAATGCAGCATGTGTCATTCTCTTAGTCCTTTGAATTAAAACTCTTCACGGAGAATAAAATAAGAAAAGTTTTTCACAAGTCCCAGGAATCAGATGCATGAAAAAAAATCTGCACAAAATCTTATTTGATTTTGCTGTTTTTTAGCAGAAGCTATTGCAGGAGACAGAGCGGTTCAGACAATGCAGTGATGTTTCCTGAAGACAAATGCGCTATGCTCAGAACCCACCATATGGAAATCTCATGTGAAATCAGGGTTGCCATGGCAAAAGCGTTTAATTCACCCGCGAGCTGGAAGTGAACATCAAACCTGTGTAACTTGTTGGTGCACACGGATCTGCTGCCGGAGAGCTGGTAAATTAGTAAGGTGCCCTGCTGAAAAGCTGGGGACGTTCCTTTAACATCTTGGGAAGGATGGGAAAGAAGAAAGAAAAATTCTGCCTGCAGTGAGAAAAGGAAGCTGAAAAATGGACTGGCCAAAATATGAGCACCCAGTGGTGCTCACTCCTCTAACACCAGAGCTGTGCAAGGGACCGTCCATCTGACCTGAGATTTGCAAGCTGCCTGCAGGATTTGGCTATTGAAATTAATGGAATTCAGGCATCCAGACCATCCCATCCACTTTTTCTGGAGCCAAGTCCCTGGCCAAGGAATCCGCCTGGCTCTGAACTGGCTGCATTTGTCACAGGCTGTTGAAGCAGGGCAGGGCTCTCCCCACCTGGGTCAGCCAGTTGTCAATCAGGGCAAGCGTTATTACACTGATGTCCTTTCTGGCCAGTTCTAGGGGCTGGCTAGATGCAAATGAAAGAATCTTTCGCCCTTTGGGAAAAGGTAAGGCGATGCCTCAGTAGTCTCTCTCTGTAACGAAAGGGGCTGAAATCCAAGGCTTTGGGGGAGCTCGGTGCATAGCGGCTGCAGTGTTGGAAATACAGGTGTCTCCTGCAGAACTGTGAGTAGTTTTACTAAGGCACTGCAGGTACAGACTGCCCTGCACCCAAGGTTGTCAGTGCACTTCAGACGCTTTCATCGGTCTGCAAAACTCTTTGACATTCGAGGCCAACGACCGTTTGTATCTGGTAAACTTACACCCAGCACGCTTAAGTGGGTTACCTGAGTTTTCCCAATGATCGATTGGCACAGCGGGGAATAGAACCCAGGTGTCCTAGTGCCCAGCCCCAGACACTAGCAGATCACATTTCCCCTCCTTTTTCAAAGTGCTTCAGGATCTGAAGAAGAGCTCTGTGTAGCTCACAAGCTTGTCTCTTTCACCAGCAGAAGTTGGTCCAGTAAACGATATTACCTCACTCTCCTGGTCTCTTACAAAATAATAAACATTCAGAAATGAAGAGGGTTTCGTATGAAAGCAAGTTTAAAGCAGGACAATAATGAGCCTTAACTTCAAAGTGACTATCCTGAGATAAAACACTTAGGCAGGAAATAGCACTGGCAGGCCAAGGGATTGCAGAGTTCCTGCCCAGAGGGAAGGGGAGGTGACTTGAAAACTGCAACTTGTTCAGAGCAATATGTCCATGCTGCACGCTAATAGCAACCCTTTGTAGCTCCCGGGGGAGTGGAATTGCTAGCCCCGTGTGCTAAGCCTGCTGCAAAGTGACAGCATAATAATAGTGTTCTTGCTCCAGCATGCCTCATTTGCCTCAAAATTACTAGATCACAAGGATAATTAAAACAATTATAATTGTTTATTTCCATGCTAGAATTGTCAAGCATTATAGCCTGTGATGGGCAGCCGGAAGAGAGAAGCGCTCGCGGTTTTCTCACAAGGGTATTACTCACTTTCAGGCTTCGGTTCACACCACACACGACATCACTTACGCCAGAAGAGTGTGCGTCACGGCTTTCTTGGAGGAGAGAGGAACTTTTATCTCCCGATCTCCTGCCTCTGCTGTACTAGCTTGTTCACCCTTTGTCCTTTCTCTTTTCCCACTCCTCCCGTCACGCCTTTCCTCTTTATCAGCCTCTGCCCTCTCTCGGGAATGTGCTTTTTAGTGCACATTATGACGAGCCTGACTGGTAACCAAGCCCTAAACGGAACAAAAAGGAGTGAGTGCGGCCCGACTGCTGGCTGGGCTCAGACACCTTGAGGCAGGGCCCATGGACAATGGGCCGCGGCCCCAGCTGGTGTGACGTACTCCCTTGCCACGCGTGGAGCTATGCCAGTAGACACTAGCTGGGGACAAAATCCCAATGTCTCCAAAGCGTTGAAAGTGTTCCAGTGACACTATAAATAAGTGACTAGTAAATAGCTAGAATTAATCCTAGACACTCTCCCAAGCTGTGGGAAACTCGGCAAACAGTCACTGCCCAGAACCTCCCCGCATACCTGCTGTCCCTGCAGCCAGCACTTCTGCAGTGTCACGAGAGGGAGGGTGTCTAGTGGAGAAGGCAGGAGACCTAGGTGCCAGGCTCTGCTTTGATCCTGACCTATGGCGTGATTTTGGGCGAGTCACTTCCCCTCTCTGCACCTCTGAGTCCCTCCCACCCTTGGTCTAGCTTGGATTGTACGCTCTCCCAGGCAACCACTGCCTCTTACCCTGTGTTTGTTCAGTGCCTAGTGTCAGGGAGTCTTACCTCATTCAGCCTCTCTGCTGTAATACAAACAACTAATACTAGGAGTTTGCCCAGCGAGTACCCCCAGAAACACTGCTGTGGGGCGACAGTGCCCCAAGGCAAGGCTGGAGAAATAGCAGACCGACACTCAGCCGCTAGCCACCCCGTCCTCACCAGGCAGCGTGACCTCCAGGTTCTGAGGTAACCAAAGAAGGTCGAGCCTGACAGGTCCATTTTCCCCAGGGATGAGTCAGGAAAGGAGGAAGTGTGAGAGGAAGGCGGGGCAGAGGGCGACCAGCATTTTGCATTTGGAGACTGAGCCAAATATTGGACTTAGGTTACAAGTGAAAGGAACGTAAGGCCGTCCAGATACCACACTTGTCAACACCTTGAGCTCCTTGGCTCAGCTCCTCTCTCTCACAGGATCCAGCAAGCTGATTCAGATGCTATTTTAAAATCGAAAGAGAAGACTCTCCTCTTGCTATCCGACATTTGGGACGTCCTCATTCTGACTTTGCTAAGCAGCTGGAGGCTGCCAGCGGCGGCATCTGTATTAATTACTTCAAAAAATGTTCATTCCCAGCGGGCGTCCTGTGAGGTCAGGAAATGCTCACATCACGGGGCAGCCTCATTGTCAGAGACGACCAGTGCTAGAGAAGCAGAAGGAACGTGTGGAAGTCGCTGATGGAGGAGTGGGACGTAATTCATTCCTAATTAACACACTCAATCGTTATTTAGACAGCATCAGCGTATGAGGCGCTTTAGAGAGAGGCACCAATAGATGGTGCCTGCCCCAAGAGGTGACAATGCAGGCAGCGTACAAAGGGCTTCAGGCACAGGGCGGTGTGTAAGTTGATTCCAAGTTGGAGCCAAATTTCTACCCCTCATGGTTCAGAAATGGAAAAACAAATGTCTCCCCTCCCAGTTTATTATTGATTTTTAAATCTCATTTTTTAAGCCAATCTCATGATTATGGGGAGTCCTGACTCATGAGTTTTTAATACTCGAGGTCAGCAATACAGAACATTTCCCTTGAGTTTTGTGACACTTTCCAGTCTGCTTAGCGTAACGCTTTCAGCGGAAGTGATGCCTTTGTTGTGAAAGGTGGGGTTCATGGGCACACAGAGAGCAGCGTGTTTGAAGGAGTATCTTGAAAGAAGAGAAGGAGAACGGGATAGCACAACAACTGATTACAGCCCTTAACATATTTGATTATTGTTATCAGGTTCTCCTCCATCTTATTTTCTCAAGATAAAATATATCCAGTTTTTTTTAACCTTCCTTCCTGGGTCAGGGTTTCTAAACTTTTTATCAAGTTTGTTCATCTTTCTATAGGTTTTTCAGAATAATCTTTTGGAGTATGATTGAGAATTCTACCCCTGCTCCAAAATGCTTTAAGGTTGCTTGAAAATATGTCACCTACGGAAAGGACATGACGATTTAATTCTGGAGGTATTCAACGTGATTTTCATAGGACTTTTCCA